ACTTCTATAGAATAATTCGTCGGCAAATCAAGAATTCTACTACGTCACTTATTTACCCCATTCCAATACAAACTCCGGGTCATGCAAATAACGATTGATTGAGTTGCGTTCAAGGTCACGAAGATGAGTACAAGTTTAGTGTACTTTTTTCCTCTGACAAACTTCACTCCACGATTTTGAAAAGCGGTATGGAGTTAACTAGCAGTTTCTAATTAAATAAAGCCCTGTTAGCCTTGTATAACTCTGAAACTGTACTTCAGCCAAAAGAAACGTATAATTCACGTGGTATATGTCGAGTAGGCCGGAGAGACTCGTTTTCAAAAAACAATTGGAGCAACGCAATGAATCTAAGTGCATCAAATGAAGGTCAGAGTCATTGTAGGACAAAAGCTTCTAGTCAAGCAACTTTTTATCGGATTTCTCGTGCTATTGTACCCAATGTCGTTTGTCCTAACGATTTACGTATTTCTGATAAGATTTCTTTCATATCTGATGAAAATAGGTGAGATGAACCAAGATATGAACAAAATTATGGTGCAGTCTTGATAGGATAGTGTTGAAAAATCTATGATTCGAATTCTAGATTTCAGTAAACACAACAGGTATGCCGATGGAAAACAACTACAGGTACCGGGTGAGTATGTTAAGGTTTCGATTGTGTACCCTAATACTAATGTGTATATTCTGGGTCATGCAGAATGTATATACAACACAGTCAGACAGACACACGATGAACCTAAGAAGTCCGGTTGATTACAGTAATTCCGATCTCAGTTTCATGCTGTGGCTGATGTGGTATTTGTATGACCTAATGATTCTTCTGTACTTGTCGATCCACTTATTACGAATTCCAAGCGTATTGTGTTTATTGGTGCTCTTTTGTTTATACTTTCTGTAGATTGCACTATTTTAAGAATTCGCAGTCGGTACAATAATTTGCCCTTAACCTGGCCATTTGGGTTATTAGGTTGGATGTATAATTATAGGGCCGGAAGCGAATTTATCGAAAAGAATATACTCCGTTAAAATGTTAGACTTTTAATCCGAACACTTCTAATTATCATAGTTACTCCTGTCCTTCAACCTGGAGCGGAGCTGCTAGTTAATGTGAAAAGACCTGTGCCACATATATTCCTTCTAGTGACTGAACAAGAGCTAGAAATGTTCCAGTAAATTGGTGTTATCGAGTTTTTAAATTTCGCGGAATACGCTGCACCGATAATGATGTTTATGAAATCCTAAGACAGTGCCTCTTTGTTCGTTGATTTCTCAACTGATCTCAGGAGAGCCCTGGAAACCCACCAGTATCCTTCATTCTTGCCCGAAGATCTCCTTACTAAGCTGGGTTGCGGTGGGCTGTTTTGCAAATTTGAAAGTATCAGTAGCTTATTTACAATTAACTTACAATTAATACACACGACTTTGGATAAAACCGACTGTATTACAGAATAATAACTGCACCGTCCATATTGTAGCGCATTATGAACACCATGCAACAAAAGGTTCCAGGTGCTCCGGCTTATTACAACGACATTCCAGTCACGGGAGTAGTTAATATGTATTCAGTAAACAGGCCTAACATGGTTCTTTCAGCATTAGCTGAATAAGGACTCTGATACTGTGTAGATGGATTTGACGTTTGAATGAAGCTGGTATGCTAACTCGTGTTATAGCAGATAAAGATTGCGGGCTACTGATCCCCTAGAATACTGTTGCACTGAAAGCTAAGCCTAAAATGATGGATATCTTCAACTCGTGATGTTTCCGTAAACTGGTTAGCCATGATGACCCCTTCCTACTTGACTTACATTGACAACGTTCACCACTGAATCATCTGGTAAAAATGTGAAATGGAGTTGGTCTATAGATTGTCAAGCGGAATTCATAAAAAATCAACAAAATGCCACCTTATACCTTTTGTTTGACATATAAAATTCTCCTTTCTTTACTGTAGATGCATAAGATGCTCCAAATTACGGCATCAGAGTGGTTAACTACCACGTCTTCGCAGATTGATGTCCTAGTGCAATCGTCAAATCGTACAATGTAAAGTTGGTAGGAACTAGGATCTATTGAAGCAGACGGAGACAAATTTTGAACAAAGTGTGTGTTGAGATTAGGACACAAATTAGCCATATAAAGAGAAACGAGTGCAAAAACATTAGGCAAGCTGATCTTCACAGATAAATACGTACAACGTTCAGTATATGTATAACCCTAGTCTAAGGAGTCTTTCGCACTACGCACATTTTCTCTAGTTTTAAAGTAGTCGTGTAGATTCAGTTTGCGGTTTTCAGGATCGGATAAAAAACAGGACCAAGCAATCATTCAATGGAGTTATACATGTATATATGTTTGAAAGTCTGAACTGTTTGATTTTCAAATCCACACTGAATTGAGATTGCTTGAATGTACGTCAAAATCACTGGAGGTAATGCCGAATCGACAGATAGAAGCCATAATAACACTTATATTCAGAAGCAAACTGTACTTATCTAGACTATGAGCAATTTAGTATGAGTCTATCGAGAAAGAATTTATGTCAGCATATTATGGTGGTAAACTATTGTCCACCGTCATTTTTACCTTAGAAGCTTAACTCTATGATATTAGCATAAAGTCAGACCAGCTGAAGGTACCCTGTTAACTATCATTGCGATATCTCACCACATTAGATAATTCTCCACCCTTTCAGAAAATTGACCTGGACATCTTATGTTCATTTTTTATAACTTTTTTCTGACGAAATTTTCGGTTACGATCGTTTTTTCTCTTTTTTGCTTCATGTCTACATAAATGATGGATCCTGATACCAACATAGCCCTATTTTGTCATACCGAAGATAACATCGCTAACCATTTGGTTGAACAATACTATCGGACATTTCGACCGACCCGTAGTAACTATATTGATGGAAGCTTCATCTGCAACTGCACAGGAATTTCACGAGTGAACCTGAGCGCTCACTTGGTGTTCCGGAAACTGCAGCAACCAAGAAGAAAACACCTCTTGGCCCGGATATGCTTCATTCTTCTATACTGAGAAAATAGGCTTCAATCCTGTCAACACCGCTTGGTGTGATGTTCTCACACTCGCAGGCCGTCTGAAATTTGGAAGCTGGTTCACGTTGTGGAGTCCCTGATATGCGACGCTTTACACGAATATTTATTATCCTTAAACTTCGTTTCATCCCAGCAGCATGGTTTCAGGAAGGGTCATTCTTGTATAACCAACCCGCTGACTGCGGTGGACAGATGGATCGCAAGGGAAAGTTTGACGTCATTTACTTTGACTTCTGAAAAGCTTTCGATAGGGTCAACCATATATGTCTCATCAATAAGCTCAAACTATTAGGTTTCAGTTGACTTCTAATTGATTGGCTGACTTCATATCTAAAAAGTCTGCGTCTGATGGTCAGGGTTAGCTTCACTTTATCTCAGTCTATGGAATTTCCTAGTGGGGTCCCCCAGGGTTCGGTACTGAGACCTCTTCTTTTCTTGACCTACATAAACGATCTTCCTCAACAGGTAACGTCAGACTTATTGCTTTTTGCTGATGACGTAAAACTTTGGAGAGAGGTACGCAACCAAGACGATTTACAGGCACTTCAGGAGGATCTGACTCGACTTCAGATTTGGATAGACGATAACGGACTTACCTTTGACACTCCAAAGTGTAAAGTAGCCCATGTGCGACATGTCGCAGACTATAGTTACAACTTGGAAAACTCTCTAGTAGTATCCCGGCTCGAAAAAGATTTAGGAGTCCTGATGCCATACGATTTAAAGTCTTACGCTAACTGTGACAAAAATGCCTTTCGAGCAAACCTTGCACTGGTAACACTGAAACGCATTCTTGGCCAGTCTGATGGAAGAACTTTCCATACAATCTTCAACATTTTTATCCGTCCTCATTCAGAGTACGGGAACATAGTATTTACCCCTAGCTCCAAAAGGATAAGGACACGCTGGAGCGTATCCAACGGCGAGCCACGAAATCAGTTTAGGGAATCAAATTCAGGCCCTATGAAGGGCACCTCCAATCACTTAATCTCCAACTTTTAGAGTATGGGCGCCTTAGAGGTGACCTTCTAATGGCTTACAGTATCCTTAACACTTCTGAACATCTCCGTAAACACCTACTCAAGTTTAGTGCCAATACAAACCTAGAAATTGGGGACATAACATATCGAAACGGACTGTAGGTGCAACTTCTACTCCTTAGGAGCTATCGACTGCTGGAATTCTCTGCCGGCCGAGCTAGTCCAAGCGACTTCTCAGGAATCATTCAAGAGGCAACTTGACCTATTCTTAAGGTTTAAGGATAGTATCATACTATGATTTACCAATTTCTTTTTCCTCTTTTATCGTTAATATAGCTAGGTTCCTACCTGGAGTTAATCGTGATCCTCTGCTACTAGACACGGAAGCCTGTTAAGCGAAAGCTTCTTCCATTCCGTCCACAACCATTTGAACCATTTGAACCATTTGAACATTAACGGCTCAACAGTTCGTTACGAAAGTATCGCTGAAAAGTACATTTCCGGGTGTCAGTGATACCGTGAAAAACATTTAAACAATGTAAATATTCATTTATGATTGATTTAAGAGCATACTGACATACGTTCATTATTGCATTTTATTTTGTTTAATCCTTCCACGACTCCACATTATCTTACTCAACACCTTTCGAAAATACTCTACTGATGATGTCACAGGTATTCAGTGTTTGACAACGCTTCTACCAGTAACACCTTCTAATATATTTCGTTCCCGCCCAGAGAAATCAAAAGACAGAGTCGAGGAGATCGGAAGAGTATATTTGGCGATGACCAATATATCGGAATTCTCTGATCTAATCTGGCTAGCGATTGCGGTTGATGTTGAGCACGGCGTTACCACACGTGATCTGGTGCGGATGGCTGACCGAGCGCCTTCAGCTAGGTGAGTCCACTAAAACATATGGTCAGCATCCAATGTCGAAAACTTAGTGCTATTTATTTTGGGGATTTATTTACCGCTACACTACATTTCCATTTCCCTCTATTGACTGTAAGAGATTCCCTTGTCAAATTATCACTTTGAATTTATTTTTCTACAATAAAATGGATACTCCTGAGTTGACTGAATATGAATCTGCACCAAGTATTCGTGTCCATAAACGTGAGACAAAGCACAGGTAACCAGTATTTTAAAGAAATAAAGTACTATTCTTCAGAATATTTGTCAACCGGAGCTTGCAGCTAGACAAAATAAAGTTTTTCGGATTCGATATGGACTACACTCTAGCACGTAAGTCTCATTAATTTTCTTTTGAGAAACAACACACTTCAAACTTATAGAGTATAAATCACCACAATATGAAGAGCTTGCATTTAATATTATAAAAAACCGGCTGATAAAACTTGGCTATCCTCCGAAAACTTCTGATTTTGTTTATGATCCCTCGTTCCCGCTGAGGTTAGTTTAATCGAGTATTAAGTATAGTGTTTGTGATGTTTCCCTTTTGTTAATGTCAAATTTCCTATTCACGTACTGCAAAGTCATGTGACTTATCTTGTATTGCATACTCGGCTAGGTGAACGTCTGTAACTACAATAAATCAAAGGAAAAAATGTCTTATATTGATCTTCTAATGGTCCATTTTGTGTGGAGACAAAATTCGATTTCAGGTATAGTGTATAACGATTGCACAGATTTCTACATTTTTATAGCTAGTTAACTTTTTAGTTTGATTGTTCGACTTAGTATTTATTTTTCTGAGTCCCATTTAACATTCAAAAATGCAATAAGGTATATTTCATCGACGTCCGCAACTTTGTTTCATTCATTAAACTGTAAGTGTACTCGTAGTTGGATGATAATTATCTTTCTTTTCAACTGTTAAAACCTTTTGTATTGTCTTGTATTTTAGAGGCCTATGGTTTGATCGGCTTTATGGTACTCTGTTAAAAATGGATCAGTTTGGCAATATTCTTTCATGTTTACGTGGATTTAATTTTATCCAAAGGTAAGTAGCCAATTTAAATGTCTTTATAGCATATAGGGAAGAACTTCGATCAATGTATCCAAATAAGTTTGTGAAGTACGACGAGAAACGAATTGAAATAATGAACACTTTGTTCAGTCTTCCAGGTAGGAAAATTCTTTAACCAATTTACCTTTTTAGAAACCTACATACTCTCATGTATAATCCATATGTTCGTCAACGATCCTGATTATATAAAAGTTGAGCATGGTGTCAAAAAAGGATCTCTGTATATGTCATACGCTTCAATTTATGAAGATGTAAGAACCGCTTGTGATTGGATGCATAGAGTAGGTAGAAGTATAAATTTTTCAAGTATTTCTTTCAATTACTTGTTTTTCATATGATTTTAATGATGTTGTTTAACTGAAGATATCTTGTTTGCATTTTTCATTTGTCTATGGCATTCAATGAATCTATTTCTGAGTCAATTTCTTCTGGCCTCTTGCTAGTTAGTTGTAGACTATCATACGACCAACCATAGACAGATTTCATCTTGTGCTGGACAGAGATTTGGAAGTGTGCATACACATTGAGTAGTAATATGTAGTTTTTGGTTTCATTATAATTTCATCGTCATACGTGGTAGACTGTATATATGGTTAATGCTTAGGGAATATATAATTTGGTGACTACCTTTCACATTGACTTTGATTATGAATACAGTGGGTGTGTGAAGTTAAAATTGGAAGGTGTTAAGTACCCAAGGTTAGCTTTCCAATAGGGCGTACTTAAACGTCATAGTTTTACAAGACTTCCGTTAAGAGTCATTGTTCTCTTCCGTTTCATTTCAACAAATCAAAAGTCATCCAGGGTAATTTAGAGGAGTTCTGTCCGTTTATCTGAAAATATGAAGTAATTTTGAAATATACTTACAGGTTAGAAATTACTTGGATGAAACTTGGTCGGTTTAAGTCCCATAACTGCATTCTTTTTGTCTATGCTGTCTCAAAAATATTGCATATTTATTATTGTGAGTTGTCGAATCGCACGTTTTATTGTTATTTATCGTTACTAATATTGCTAATAGTCCTCTGATGTTAGTCTTAATAATTCCATCTCAATGTGTTGATATGTGGCAAATTAGGTTGGTGTACATTTATAATGATGAGTAGGTGACTGACTCGATAATTTAATTTTTCGATCTTGATGATTGTCTAGGATAAATATTTGATGTATGGTGTACGGATAATTTGACTTACGATGTTAGGTAAATAAGTAATGCACATGAATCCATGAATTCCCTGAATTAAGCGTACTTCTCTATTGTGTGTTAACTTTTTAACGTTTCTGTTTCAATGTCGTTGAGGAATCTCAACGATCCTGATACTATTGGTCCACCTTTGGTCAGTAATTGTAAAATCAGTAGGAAAAAGTACGTTGAAAGATGTTCAAATGAGACCAAGCAATTCGAAGCAAAAGTAAACGTCATGTATTTATTTTCCTTATTGGATCCCCACTTTCGTTCTAAAGTCCCACAATCTCCATTCTGTTGATCGATAGCGAAATTTTGGCCCAAAAAATGTTTTCCTTGTTTTTCGGTAGACTAATATATTCCATTAGTACATGTGTTTATTAATTACTTCATTGAATTGTGTCGGCTATGAGACGTAAAGTAATCGTAAATAAAGGTTGGGAGCCTTTTTAAAATAGTTCAAAACCATTTGTTGGTGTGGGTGTGTTCATTATTTTTCTTCCTTTGGATTTAGATCTTTAGTACGTTCTTTTCTGTTTTTGTTCCTCTTCCTGAAGCTTTTATTCATGTGTTGGTGTTGTTTTTAACTACACGTATTTGGTTTCTGTCGTGTTAATTTTTCGACATTCTCTCATAGTGTGTTGATTTGCGTTGATACAATTCTCATCAGATCTACATTGTTTGCTTCCCAAATAGTAAATGGATGTAGTTAAACCGGTCTGAACTATCTATCAAAGAGCTTCTGTTTAAACTTAAACTTCCTACACTAATTAGTGGATAGGGAAGAAGACAGCTGGGTCATACTCATTCATCTTAATGAATTCTAAGTTATGATTAATTAACTTAGTCCATGAATGTATCAAATGGCGATAAGATTGGTGAAATATAGATTCTGCCAAACTCAAGTTATTACTGGAACAAGAGCTCAAGTTAACACGTTTAGTGACAATTCCAAAGAACACTTTAACGCCACACCTAGTTGGAAATAATTAGCTTAGCGCACGAATATTTCAGTTGATTAGAATGAGATTGCTGGTGTAGTTCGACAAAAATATTGCTAAGGTCTTCCTATTAGGTTTAAAATAATGATGATATATCTCGATGTGAAATTCTACCATTTTGACTTCATTCTTTAACTGAGTTTCTTGTCATATTACACTATCATTGAAAAGCATTCCACTCAACTTATATTTAATGGTTCATCATTATATAAGTGTTTCTCGATAATAGCATTGTGGTTCCAATTCATTGTGGAATGGAACTGAGATTCACAATTTACTGTAATTTATTGACACATACACTCTTTAACGTTTTTGTTAATTTTGTTGCAGGGAGAACTAAAACAACGTACTTTGGCAAATATTAGTGAATATGTCGAAAGAGATCCACGTTTATGTACTTTGTTAGATCGGTAAATTTATTTCATTCTATCTTAATCGTATGCCTAATTTATTATTGAGAAGGATCGGACTTTTTTAGACGGTAAAATATTTCATTCTGTTATTTTTTTCGTATTATAGGCTACGAGTGAATGGTGCAAAAGTGTTTTTGTTAACGAACAGTGACTTTGAATACTCTCATGTAAGTTGTTTTCCTCTTTTTTTACCATGAAAAATCAAGTATTAATTATTTTAATCAAATAATAATAGTATTCTGATGTAGTTGAAAGCTATCGGTCAGTTCTACATCATGTATTTTTATCGTTAATTTTCCAATATTTTCGAGTGATGTGACTTGTCTTGGTGCATCTTAAAATATGAATACAGTGGTCTTGAGTGCTGTTAGAGGTATGGCAGCGGTTGTAGCTGACTGACTGATCTTAAAATATAGTCGATAAGTTATGTGTGATACACATTTGTTCTTGTTTAATTAAAGAACAGTGATTTAATTCGAATTGTTGTTTCCCTTTTGATTTTCAACTAAAATGGTCGGAAACTTTAAATTTCCGTGTGAATTTCCATTTGATGTGCGTTTAATTTCAATCATTAAAGAAACAATTCTATAAAATCTTTACAGATTAATGTTTTACACCCCACTATAGACCAGCCGTTATTTTTCTACCTAAAGATACTTTAATCAACCTAGAATGCATAGACAGTGTGGTTTTTTTTCAGTGAAAACAATCAGCCAGTCAGCTACAATGTAGGACTTAGCACATATATGCATCACTCCGAGTTGCTACACCTTATTAGCACAACAAAATGAAGACCGAATCCACAGAAGCTGTTACTTCAATGGTAGTAATATATAAAAGAAAGATTGCATATGAGAATATAATACAGGAAAAATGAATTAGTTCGTAGAAAGGAAGGTATAAAGCAATTCTAATCTCGCGGTTTAAGGGCAGACAAAGTGTGTATACACCTACGCCACTGTGATCGATTTTGAGTCATGTCATCCAAAGTCTCCAACCATTAGTTACGATAGTCGCGCAGACTCCAACCAAGTAGTCTGTATCTACCAACATGGCTAAAACTAGAAGTTAGTAATTTTGTGGACTGATGTCACGTTTTGGTTTGGCTGCCCCTAACTTTCTTCCAACCATCATAACACTAGTCAACATTGCGCGTCGTAGTAATCGGTGTTCAGGCATACATAACACGTGGCCCAAACATCTCAGTCGGTGAAGACTTACAACCTTATCAACTGATTAACCATCATTCTCTAATACCCTGCATCTAAATTTACCCGGTGAACCCAGAAAATGTGAGCTATATTTCTGAGACATCTGTGATCAAATACTGGTAGCTTACGAATATCTTCTACTCTTAATGGCCACGTTTCGCAGCTGTAAATTGGAACAGGACGAACTGCCACTCAGTATACTCAATCTTTTATTGATAGACGGATATATTGACTTCGCCATAGGTGACATATGTTGGCAAAAGCCAGTCGATAAGTGAACTTCTTAGTAGGAGATCAATGTCAAAAAATTCAGTCAACGAGAACATTATTTTCAGGTGTAGGTCTATAATGAAATTAAACAGAAATCAAGATAGTGGACAACCTTGCTCGACACCACTTGAGGTTGCAAAACCAAATGAAAGTTTGCCATAAGCTCTGACTCGACTAGTAGTGTTCGAGTAACGAGCCTGCACAAGGTTTATATACTTCTGAGGTACACCTTTCAATGACAGACACGTCCACAGAACCTCTCCGTCTACAGAGTTAAATGCTGCTTTTAGGTCAAGAAAAACTATCGTTGATCATGTCTGTGTTCTAAGATCTGACGAATGGTGAATATGTGGTCGATGCAGCTGTTTGGGAATGGTGGGTAGTTGTAAAGTAGCTGAAGGTTAGCTGAACTGCCCTTAAAGTGTTTCGCCCATCGTTCTAAACGTCTGGACTGAGAAAGGGATTGTAGGAATATTTAAGATGCGTTTTTTCATTTTCTGAATGTGAAATGTACCTTTGATGCAAATGTCTGAATGTTTTTTAAAGAAATTAAAGGTATCGTCAGTTATATGCCGATGTGTAGGACCTGGGACATGTTTGGTTACAATAAGTATAGTTCTAAGCCAAGCATGTAAATCTGTATTTGGTTATTGAATTACATCAATTAACCAGGACTCTTACATTATTGTTCATTATATGAAATTGCTCTTTGTGTATTTGTATCTAATTAGTGAATATAGTTTCATTTTCGGATCATCATTAGATTGCTTTTGTGCCGTTTTACATAACTCTCTCATTGTTTACAATATTCTAGAAATAAAATTTGTTAAGAAGAGATTTAATTTTTGACGTTCTCATAGGAATTATAAAATAATATGTTAATTTCCCTATAAAAAACCTTGTGAAAACTTATTTCACACACCTTTTCATTTTAGGCAATTATGAGCTTCATTTTGGGAGGTCCAAGACCTGATGTAAGTTTTGATGATTTTCATTGAGTGTTTTTTTTAAGAATGACTATAGTTTAGTCGGACAGGTTTTGTGGAAATGGCTCTTTCGAAGGTTGTGTTTTTCACAGATTGATATCAGTTGAAGTATCATTGTAATTTCCGTGGTTCTGTGTTGGTTAAGCATTCAGTACATGACCTGAAGGTTCTAGATTCTATCTCCGGTAGGATCGTGGTTGTATGGTGCGAAGGAGTCTAATGCTAGAACGTGACACCTGTTTTTTCCTCCCTGATTGTGGTTTGAGTTTGATCTATGACAAACACAACCTACGAATAATAATAGCAATATTAATAACACTAGAATAAGAAGTAAATGTTTAAAATAGATGTGTTTTGCAAAAAGTTGTTTCAAAGATCTTTACGCTCAAGTTGTAGTTCATCAGTTACCATATACAACAATTGCGTTTACTACTCAGTTAATCAACTGATTTTTCTGTTTAACACATATTTCGTACTAACGGTTAAATAATCTAACTCCAACTTTTGCATTTCCCATGTAATATAAATTGCCACATGGTATTTTATTGTCATACAGTTTATCATTCGCTTTTGACCCTAACTTAATGTGTGACGATGTCATCCAAGTACTTAAATCTGAAATAGGTGGAATTATTTGAAAACCACCTACGTGAATCATTGTCAGCGAAGTCTGTAATGTGACATCAAAGTGGTGGCAAATTTGACCCCATTGGAATGCTGTAACGTGTTTATTATTATTATTATTATTATTATTATTATTATTATTATTATTATTATTATTATTATTATTATTATTATTATATTTTGATCATCCGATTGGGTAGTATTATGAGTAAAGCCTATAACTGTCCGAGTGTCCTTGTTCCGTGTTAGCGTTACCATTTCTGTGGATGGTTGTAACGATCATTTCTGTTAAATATTCTCTAAAATCAAAGTATATCTAGTACGAATACGTCCATATACTTATAATTTATGTTGTCAATATGGTCAGATATAAATGTATTATATGATGTTTAAGTAATGTTTTTGGCAGCGTTTTCTTCTCTGAGCTAGATGGTTAAAATGTGAAGTTTTCATTGTTCTAAGCAACATCATTAGCACTAATTTCAGGTAAATATGAGTTATTCGAACTGATTCACATCTGACTGACAGCTTGTCCTACAGACCTTGATCTTGAAAGATTATTGTTACGTATTGTTTGTATATTTGTTTATTTTTGCCTGATTGAGGTCAAAGGGCAGTAGATAATATCCAATTACGTTCAACATCGGATGGTCAAGCTGTCAGTCGTATGTGAGGAAGTTCGAACAATTCACTTCTGCCTCAACTATTTAATGATAATGTTGTTCAAAAGAACGATCAAAGCTTCATAAATAAACCATCCAGGTTATAAGACGATATTCTACAAAATTCATTGATCTGAGCTACGAATCTTCCCCACCTGCTATATAAGGTATTTATAAGTTCCATATACCTGTTACATGTAAATAATAATGCTTAGGTTTGTGGATGGTGTCTATAAAATAGATTAGCATTATAATTATTTTATTAACCTCAAATCAAAAATTTGCCTTTTATATCTGAAAAACATGTGATATAACTTGAATTTTCCAACAATTACCAAAGTAAGCCTTCTTATTCGATATTATGAAGAACAAAAGCAATTTGGTATTCAAATAAACATTTTCTGCACTGAACAAATGCAGATGAAGACAACTAGTGCAGCAACAGCATCAATAGGCCTCGACGTACACAAAGGAAAAAGCAAGATCCTCAAATACAACACGGAAAATATTAACCCAGTTACACTTGATGGCGAAGCTCTGGAATCCTTCACGTACCTGGGAAGCATCACCGATGAACAAGGGAGATCAGTTGCAGACATAAAGGCGAGGATTGGCAAAGCAAGAGCCGCATTCCTACGATTGAGGAACAGATGGAACTCAAAACAACTGTCAACCAATATCAAAGTCAGAATCTTTAATACGAGCGTCAAGACAGTTCTACTGTACGGAACTGAAACTTGGAGAACTACTACAACCGTCATCAAGAAGTTACGAGTATTTATAAATAGTTGTTTACGCAAGATACTCAACATCCATTAGCCGCATACCATCAGCAGCAGCCTTCTGTGGGAAAGAACAAACCAGCTTCCATCTGAAGAAGAAATTAGGAAAAGACGATTGAAATGGATAAGACATACATTAAGGAAATCATCAAACTGCATCACGAGGCAGGCCCTAATTCAAAATTTTGAAGGGAAGCGTAAAAGAGGAAGGCCAAAGAACATATTGCGTCGGGTAATAGAATCAGATATGAAAAGGATGAATAACAACTGGAACGAGCTGGAAAGGATTGCCCAGAACAGGTGAGTGCTGGTGGCCAGCCCATGCTCCTCCAAAAGAAGTAACTGGCGTAAGTAAGCACTGAAGTCATGAGATTTCAATGATCTCACAAACAAAACGAAACATTGTAAACAACTATTTGATCTCTTGTTTCTTTTTTTTTCTCGGAATTTTAATGATATATTGAGTTAACAATGATGTTCTCATCATAAAATATTAAAATAATGAATTGAACATCTTCAAGCAAGTTTATTCATTTAATGATCAGTTGATTTATGACTTCTATGACCTTTCAACTAAGAGTTGAAGTCATTAAATCATATAATGAAGTAAAAGAAGAAATACTGTTTGTATTACTTGTACAATGTTTTTGTTTTTAAAACGACACCATCAAATATAAATGGTAATATTAGATAATTATGAAATATTAAAATGATTTGTATATAAAATCAAACAAACAATTGAATGTACAAATAATTAACAATAAACAATATGTAGATAGGATAAGTTGAGGTTAAAGATCAGTTAAGAAGAAAAGAAACAAAACATCCAAAGAGTACAAAGGAAAAAAAATCATCTAAGGCAGAGGAATATGTTATACAAATGGACAAATTAGAAAAACAGTAAAGTAGTAATAATGATCAAAGTTAAGATAAAGACAATGATCAAAATTGATCTAATGAATAGTTCAAAACTTTAATTATTGTTCTATGAAGAAATGAAGAACAAAGAAGAAAAAAAAACATTTCAATGTTTAACTAAATTCTATAAACAATCAGTAATTTAATACATTAGAGCTATATAAACGATAGAACTATGGGACATTTAAGTAAATCTATTATTTGGAAGATTGTTTTAATTGTCCTCATATTTATTTTCAACTTAATAAATAATTTTCTGAGAAACATTCACTTCTACTAGGGCATATTCATACAGGATAATTAAAAGTTCTATATTTAATTCACTAAAGATAATATATTCAATGATTATATCGTTAAAATGGACTTGAAATTCAAGGTGAAATCCTTAACATTGTTACACGAGATAAAGTAGAAATATGTAATCCGAGTTGATGGCATTTTATTACATAGCTCTGTTATTACGACATATACTATGTTAATCAACTATTTTATAAGAATCGAGTTGTTCTTAATAAACAATATAAGAAGAAACTAGATAAATGACGAAAGCGGCTTAGCTACAACATTATAACCATTTCGGAGTGTATTATTATATGTATGATTTATTTATTCGAATAAACATTGGTACAAATAGGCACTAAACTATATATGCGCCACACGAATCATAACATTTTTAAATGGGCTGGGATGCTACTTGGATGCCCAAACCAAAACAAGTGGTTTTCTTTGATTCTAATCTAATCTTCAAGTCAGTTGACCAACTCTAGATGCCGTCTCATGGTAGCCGATGGCTAAGAATGGGTTCATACCCCATTTGTTTTCTCAGGATTCTGGAGCCCACGTTCTCTGGTTTGAAATCAGGGTTTTCTGACTCCCCTAATTCAGTCCGTCGTACCCACCAACCCGATCAAAGTGCCGGACATTCACTGTTCGTCCTCTTGATTTCGTAAATAATACTTCTGTTGCAAGAAGGTAATGACTACGACTTTTGTGACAGTGGCTATGTACACATGACTATATAAAGGCATTTCGACAAGAGCAGACTCTCACCTTCAGCTGTACCATAGCATTCGGATGTCCTGTAGGATATATGAGATAGAAACCAGTATTTCTTAATAGGAAAACTTTAATGTTATGATTGTGAATAAACAATATAGCGAAAGGTAATTCCATTCCAGTTATAAGGTACCTGTATTCATTCCATTTTTTGTTTTCTTCATTTTCTTCAAAGCAGTAAAAAGTTTTCTTACAATAATTGCCACTTTTCTAGTTTGAGTTATTATTTATCCATTTTCATGCTTCAATTATGAAATTAATACCATTTTTAGTTCCTCCTTTTCTTTATTCAAATAAATGTCCTTTAGTGGTGAGGATTTTTCCTCTCAAAAGGCCTTACCACCGGAGACGGAAACCCGTGAGGTAAGGTGAGGTGTGACACTTTTAGGGTCAACCTTTTCTAACCCCTTCCTCCGCTGTGAGAAGGCAGCATTGCTGCAGATGCTGGTTGTCCGAGCGAAACACCTTACTGCTGTTACATTCTTCTACATTCAGGAGTACGACTTCGCCCTCAGACCTTGAGTTCCTACTTTTAGGCTTACCGTTCTCCAGTCGACCTGCCTGGCATAGTAGAACTTGAAGAAACATATGTTCCAGCAAATATAGCACAGTTGGGTTATCACGATAGGCAAGGCCGACCACCTCGTCAAGGTAGCAGCTATGGTCGGGCGGTCTTTTATTTTTTCCCGACATGTGCCCTTTAATATATATAGTTTAGCGTCAGTAACTGTAATTTCTTAATAATAATGATTGTTCATTATGACTGCATTAGCAGGTTTTCTATGTTAACTAGTAGTTACTAGGGTTTTGAGGAAAACATAACTATATAATTTTCTTTATTAAATTAACACTATTGTGTATAAAATAGGTCATTAGAAACACAATTTGTTTTTTTTTTAAATAAATAACGATTAATTGTGAATTACTTTCAGGTAGGAAATTTGTCCTTCAACAAATATAGAACATATTCTGTGATTGATTGATTAGGAAATAGTGTTGATTTTTTATAGAACCCATACATTGAAATATATAATCACGTGTGTGTACTTTTAAAAAAATACCGAGGAGGGGGAAAACTTAGTTTTTCATGAATTTGTATTGATTTTGCGGTGACATGGTGGTTTCCTTAGAGGGCCACGCCCCGAGCCTTCGATCTAAAGATTTAATCCACAAGGCAGTGGAGCAACGTTAAAGAGATGCAGTCTCGTGGTAACCGGTGACCAACGACTGGTTCATACGCCAATTGTTCCTTCAGGATACGGGAGCCCATGTGCACCGTTGGTTTGGAATCTGGGTTTTTCAACTCCTCTAGGTGGATCCTCTATATCCACCAACCCACTTAAAGCGCCGGACATTCGCTTTTTGTCCTTTAAATTTCGTAAACAACACCCTTGCCACGGGAAGGCAGTGAGTAAGACTTCTCTGGCAGTGGTTGTATGCATGTGGCCACGTGAGAGCATTTCGATAGAGAGAGAGCTGACTCTCTCCACTCTTGGCTGTGATAGGGCATTTGGGTACCTTGAAAAGAATAGTCTTCATTTATATACAATATGATTCGTTATTATCACTATTGCGTTTTCAGTAATTTTAATTTAAAGTACATTAATGTTTAAATAATTAAACATTTTCTATCGTGTAATTTCTAACTCTTAGCATTGAATGAAAGCTGAATAGAGATTATATCACAATAATAATTGATCACTTTCCATTTCCTTATAGTTCCATTAGTCTTAGAAGTTTGTAGAACAAGCAATTGTATATATTAAGTAATTCTATGCAAATTGTTGGTTACTGTTATACGTGTTAACAATATTTCCATTATATTAAATATATGTTTAATCATCTTAAGTAAATGGTCATAACTTATGTTATTATGTTGATGGGTATATGTCATGTAACCTAGCTAATTTCCTGTTCACCTTTTCTCATATCCAAATAGTTTAGAAGTGATGTAGAATAAGTTTAAAATTATTTCATAGTTAAGAGTTGATTTTTTATTTTCAATACAATATTGAGTATAGTTCATTTTTGACTGGCTTGTTTGAATCTTCCAATTGATATTTAGGACTGCAGTTGATAGGTCTTTTATTGGCATATGTACATCCTGTACGTATCGTCTCGATATTACCTTAAGCCACAAGCATTATAAACAAAGATGTGTAGTGGCTATCTGTGGAATACAGGACGCGCTTTTCGTCCTATTTTGGACTCGTCAGCTAGGTATTCCTACTTCCCAAAGTGAACACCAACTCTGAAATAGTGGTAAATCCATCTGACGAGTCCTAAACAGAACAAAACGTGCGTCTTTGATTCCACTGCTGGCCACCATCCATCTTTGCTTATAATTTTAGGTATGTTATTATCTAAATTAACGATTAACAGTAAAATTCAATAATAATTTTGCTCATACTTCTATATTATTTCAGTGATAAAAATAAACTTTCAAGAGATAAAACGTAATAATTTTTATGGTTATGATATGTTTGATCATAATGTCTTTATTCTATTTGGTCAAAAGTTACTACTACTACTACTACTACTACTACTACCTACTTACGCCTGTTACCCCTCGTGGAGGGGCATGGGCCGCCCACCGTTTCATTTTGAACTACAATTTGTTAATATTTGTTCACCAAGTCGATATATATATATATATATATATATATATATATATAGAGAGAGAGAGAGAGAGAGAGAGAGAGAGAGAGTTGTGGTCTTTTTTTCTTTTCAATATTTAGTCATATATACAAAAAACACATTTCTTCCAACCTACTGTTGACGTGTTTTGTAATATATTATGGATCAGTGTCTATGTGGTTAAGGCATTCTACTTCCAACCTTTAAGTTTCATGTTCGAATCCGATACCACCACTTACATTGGTTCAGGGAAATTAAGTGGTATATCTAGTTCCCTTACAATAAGAGTGTAACTTGATGCCTAGTATTTGAATCTGCGTCTAGTACGTAACCTAATAAAGATAACTTTCTTCATAATGTACAAGTCTACATGAACTGTTTGTTTCTACTGATGATGGTATGTTTGATCATGATGAACCATTCTTGAGCTACATTAGGTATACGTACCGTTTTAAAGCAAATAATTTATTGGCAATTGAGATTCAGTTTTTTTGTTTAGTTTTAGTGTAATACTGTTTCACTTCAGTTGAATAGTATGGATAAGAGTAGATATGTGGAAAATTCCTAGCACATCTGAAGTTTATGAAAGTTTTTCCATTTTTTGAAAAGACTGATATTAACTAACCACCTATTGAAACTGTAGACAGTGAACAGCTGTTTTGTCCTAATATGGAACAAGTCACATTTCCGTCAAGAACAACTGACCGCAATAATCTCAGGCCTTGTTGCATGATAGAGTGAGTTACTTTTAAGATCAAAGAATCTATTTCTACTTGTCCACCTTCCCAATTCCAATCACTTTTTTATAGGAAGAAATAGCTGTTCAATATTATGTGTTAATCAATGCTGATCTAGCGAGTCACTTTCTAATTATCCACTCCAACTTGAAAAAAGCTTGTTGCTTTGAATTAAGATATGTATCATTACTTTATTTGGGGGGGGGTCATCTAATAGAGTTTAATTTATATCCCTTTTTCTTATTCAAGCTCAATGCATGTTATTTAGTTTTCAATGATGTATCATATTTTTACAATCATATTACTGAGTAGTATATATCCATGAAAGACGAAATGAATTCTGTTTATGTATGTACTTTTGAATTATCACTTATTGTATATTAAAGTACTTGTGACTGAAAAATAATGTTTCATTTCGTTAAAAAAATGCTTTGTATTTTAACAAACTTTGTAAAACAGTCTCTGCCTATCACAATATTTTCTCTCAAAGTCTACTCTCTTTTTGGTTGTGTGTGTGTGTGTGTCTGTGAAGCTAATCAAATTACACTTTCGAATGTCACTGTTTATTCAATATTCGTATTGTATAATTGTTGCTTAGTACTTTACAAATTAACTGACTGGTGATATATTAATGTTGACATACTTGTCATTTTGAGTGACTTATCATATGATATTGCAAATGTTCTCTTTTAGGATTGATGGATAATATTTATATTTCATAATAAGGATTTTAAGATGTTTTCTTATCTGAGCTGTATGATATAAGTTGCAAAGCTCTCTCATTGTCTTTCTAGACAACATCTTCAGTATATCCTTCATAAAAAAAGGAATTCAGGTCAAGAGAGAATGCAGTCTAAACTAATATACTAACAACCAATCGAATAACGTCAAAAAAAGCTAACCTTTAGTTAATTATGGGAAAAATACTAATACTGACTTACTTCTCTTTAAAGTATGTGCTGATCATATTGTTTTGAAAAGATATGCTTCACAACTAAATTATTCAGCTCAGAGAACATAACATTTCTATAACGATGAATGAATTTCGTAACATTTAATATTTGTCAAACTAGTTAAAGTGTAATTATAACAAACTAACGTAGATGTATTCTTACAAAAAAAAACTTTAACAGTATGACTAGAATAGTCGATATAAATGAATGCATACATATATTCCTACTTTGTTTTTTTTTTATTCTAAGGGTACAATTCGTAAATGGACAAGTTATTTTGATTACATTGTAACTGACGCAAGAAAACCAGCATTCTTTCAGGAAGGAACAATTTTAAGAGTTGTTTGTCAAGTTAGTTGAATTATTCTCATAATGAGTTTTGGTTTTCTTTTTCGTTTCATGTCAGAAACATTGATGATGATGATATAAATAATTTTTTCCGGTTAGCGTTTTTTAGTTAGTTAGCTTTCTACGGGATGGGGTCGCTAACCCTATGCCCAACCCTCCTCTTTTATCCGGGCTTGGGACCGGCATTATCCCAGAGGGGCTCCAGGCGGAGTTGTCAAAAACATTACACTGATAAATTCGACAGAAATCTTTAAATTACGTCCCAAAATACACTAAAGTTGTATGAGAAAAATCGTAATATTGTAAATCGTGTTGCAAAATATACAGTAATATAATGCTTGATATAATTATGGCATTTTAGTGTTAGAGATGAGTTGACCATAACAACAATTTTATTAAAGTTATATTCACGTCATAAAGTGATTTGTTACACTTTGTTAAATTATAAAACTTTCATACATTGAAGACTACTAAAATTTGTTTTTAGTCATCGAACATTTTAATGTCATTTTCAATATAGGGTCGTGGAAACTGTTGAATTTCATCAAAGTCATGAGCCGATCTAAGTAAGACCACCATTTAAAACCTGGAAGCACCGGCCGGCCAATTCGTCCTAGTGTGGAACTCCTCAACCGTGGCCAGTGGAGTTAATCCGTACCAAGTTTGAGGCAGACAATCGAAGATAATCGCGCAATGTTTTAGATTGATTGAGCTTAGACATTGATACTGCTGGATGCCGGCTTAGTGGTCTAGAGGTCGCGACTTCTGGATTCCATTGCTAACCGCATTTTTACGTTCTTGATCTGTCTACCCGACAATATACAGAAGATAACTTGTATCGATCTAGATTAAGTCCTTGAACGATAGGCTAACTGGTTTAACCTTGAGGTTAGAATGCTTGTGCTTGAAGTGAGGTTGACTGCCTTGGGTAGAGAGACGAAAACCACTCTATCACCTGACAAGAGAGAAAACACCAGTCAACCGGGGACACTACTCGATTTATTCTCAATTCCGATTCAGATTAATGCAAATATATATATTAATTAATAGATGAGCAACATGACCGCAACGTACAAATAATTAGAGAAATACAATTATTTTAATAGTTCAATCCGTGAGTTAATTGGAGGTAGGCCACCACGGAAAACCTGGAAGCACTGGACGGCCGTTTCGTCCTAGTATGGGACTCCTCAGCAGTGCGCATCCACGACCCCGCCTCGATCCAGGTTTTCCATGGTGATCTAGCCTCGATTGACTCATGAATTCAACAATTAAATTACTATAATATCCACAAAAAGCCCTATTTGATTAAAATACAATTGTGCTGAAAACTGGGCATTAGTGTAGAAAAACAGGGCACCGATGGTACCGTTTAAATCACACAATAGCTTTTGAACAGAAAAGGGTATGGCAGTGAATCATACATCAAACGATAGCTTATAGTTTGCCGAATGAACCATGGACAAAAATAAATGTTGGTATTTTACAAGCTTTAAATTAAGTGAAATAACGTCCCGAAAAACAACTCCCTTTGTTTGTCATGGCTTCTTTATTTCTGTGTTCACATCATGCACTTTCTCTATTCTACATAAATATTGAAAGAACTAGTTTGCATTTTTTTAATTATGAAATTTAATACCATTTTGTTCGACAATCAGTTACTACTCATATTGAACGTAGAGTCTGATGAATATAGTGGTCTTGAGTGCTGTTAGAGGTATGAGGGCGGTTGTCACTTCCTGGTTGCCCACATCGTGGAAGGGTTGTTCTGGAGGTACCTGAAAAGGAAATTGGAATAGATGTGGTCTTAATGATCTGACCGCAGTGCCCAAGGGACAACTGCTTGAGGTCGGTCACACACGACCTTTTTATGGGAAATCTTTGTGTTAGCTCCGTACTTGTTGAGATCTTACGACCGGAAACGGATATCCGTAGGATAAGGTGAGGTGTGCATTTTCAGGGTCGACCTTTTCTAACTCCACCCCTCCTTGTGGGAAAGCAGCGTCGGTATCATGCTGGTTGTCTGAAGGAAACACCTTACTACCGTCGCACCTTTGTACAGTCGGCAGTACGACTTCGCCTTCAAACCTTAGGTTTGTTGCTTTTAGTCTTACCGTTCTTCAACTGACCTGTCTGATATGGTAGGACCTTGATGAACGATTGTTCCAGCCATTATAGCTCGATTGGTTTATCACGACAGGTAAGCCCAACCACCACGTCAGGGTAGCAACAACGGTCGTTGTAATTGACTGACTGTATAGTCTGATACAAGATGCATAACAAAGGAACTGATTGGTATAAATGTTGTATTAGTAATGTAAACTTATAAAAATATCAGTCACTTATGTACACATTTAATGTCGGTCATTTAATATGATACATAATGGAATTATTTGCACAATAGTTTTATATAACATATATTAGTCATTATAAATGTACATGATGATGATTATTTTGTAATAAAATCAATTCATGTATTCATTAGAATTTTGTATTTATAATATAAATGGTATTTTTAAAGTTATTTCAATTATTTGTCCTCCTGTTATATCATAAGTTTTGTCCGGATTTTCTAGTTTATCGAGTTTATTAAATTGATTAATATGTTTGTTTTAAATCTCATTGATGTTTAGGATTGTATTTGATCAGTTTTTTATTGACATATTTACATCCTGTTCGGATAGCTTCGATATTGCCTTAAGAATCACAAGTATTATAAACAAAGATAATATCTAGTTGAAAAGTTCCAAATAGGAAGAAACGTGCATCCTGGATTCCACCACTAGCCACCATCTATATTTACTTATAATGATTAATATATTGTTTGATAATTAACTAATTAACTTATTTCACTAACATATTAATTATCTTATACAAAGATTCAATGTCAAGTTTAGATGTATAGTACAGATATCAATGAATCGTTTAAATGAAAGGCGAATAAGAATATCATCTATAATACATTTATTATTACTGATGTAATTAAATGAATTTTATAAATGAAAAAAATTTCTGTTTTCTATATATTTCAATTTAAGACCAATAAATCGGTACTTAATTGATTAAAGCATATGGATTTTAACCATTTAGTTGCTGGTTCACAACTAGCTTCAACTATAATAATATAACCACTCATAGAATTGTAATATAGCTCCAAAACCGAATACATGAATTCATGCTTATTAATTAGATTTTGTAAGCAATGATGGATAGTGTCTAGCAGTGGAATCCAGGATGCGCGTTCCATCCTATTTGGGACTCGTCAGCTGGATGTGCCTGCATCTCAGAGTTGATTTTCACTCTGGGATTCGAACCCAGTACTATTCGCTTCAAACGTCATCGCGTTATCCACTTAGCTACTGGGTCCTGATAACCACTTGCTTGTGTAATGGGATGAATTTCAATTCACTGCTAGCCACTATCCATCATTGCTTACAAAAAGCTTATGAATTAAGGCAATATCGAGGCATATACACAGTATGCACATATGCCGATAACAGACTGATCAATTGCAATCTTAAACCTTAATGGGAAGATACAAGTCAAATAATACCAAGTGAATTATTAACTAAATGTTATGTAAATAAAAATGGTAATTGATTAAAGTTATGTACATGACTAAAAAACTCTACTAAATACAAAATTACCTTTTCAATTGTTATCAAAAGCTGTTATGACCAGTACTGTTTAAATTATTTTATGACATATTAGTCATTTTTATTTGTAAACATTTATTATCTTTTTATTTGCATAACATTATTTCTTTCATTCAATTTATTTTATAAAGGATACTGGGCAGCCCAGTATTGGTCATCATATGGGTCCTTTAGAAACTGGTCAAATATATTCCGGAGGTAATTTGAAACTATATTAGTTTAATGCATATATATATATATATATCATGTGTTGTGGACCGAAATTGAAAGTTTTATTCTTTCCCATGTGTATATTGTGTTTTTGTAGTCCAGTGATTAAAACATCCCAAGGCTAAAATCAAGGAATAGCTAATTCCGTTTGATCTATTGAACAACACAATTGTTAACTGTTATTTTGAGTCAAGGAGTATGAATTCATTTTAGAATACACTATAGTTATAAAATGATTGTATTATTAGTCTATATCACTTATTTGTTTAACCTCTATTGAACCATAATCTATTTGAATACTGTAAAATGTATCTTTTTGTTTAAAAAAAAAGATGATCCAATTATGGAAAAAATCGTGGATAATTATTCTCAGGGTATATGAAAAAAATTGCAATGTCATAAACAGTTATCAAGCGGATATTGTAACCGAGTTAAGCTGTTCATTGTAATAAAATTCATTTCTAGAATTTCTCAATGTGATAATTATTCCTTTTTACATTGATATACATAACTGCTTCGACTGAATATACCTATTTGTTCTATAAATTGCTCGGAAGTGTTTATACCTCATGATTCATAATGTTTATTCATTGTTGATACTACTTACAAACAAAGTATATGTACAGTAATTTTCTCAGTTACTTTCTATTTACATAACTTTATTAAAAGAAGAAAACATACTCATAATGAATTCTTGTTAGCTATTCTTTCCCGGGCTTTTGACTTTGCTGTATTGCGGAGAGTTCTGAAGGCAGTTAGCAAGATGTGTGGTGAATCTTTCGAGGTCATAATTAATATGATTGTGGGTAGACATCTAAAGTCTTGAAAACTCTTAGCAGGTGTTATCTTATCAGATACTAGCCATCCCCTTCACTCTTATCTTTCTCCTTGTATATCTTCTGGTAGAACGAGACGTAATTACATTAAAATCCATTCTATAATACCTTACCTAGCAAATATACTCTGTGACGAACAGGTTGTTAGAGTTAACCTAGTCAATAACCTGTATTCTTAACATGTCTTTAGTTTTAAAAATTGTACAGTTTTTTCGCTTTTTTTAAAAAAACCATTTTCATTTTTTTTTGTTTTTGTTACTGTGTTTCCTTTTGTTGCGTAAGTAACTTGTTGAAATACCCTGTGCTGAGAATTCTATATTGTACCAAAATATAATATTGAATAAAGCCATTAATAATAATAATAATAATAATAATAATAATAATAATAATAATAATAATAATAATAATAATAATAATAATTAGAAACGAATAAAAACTTACATTAATATGGTATAATTTACATCCTATTAGTTGTTTGTATTGAACAGTTTACACATAATTAAATTCTGCTGTACATTTATGTATCTAATTAATTTTTCAAAAGAATTATCATTCAACCACCCTGATGGGAAGTAGAATACTTCCTTCCTTCTTCCTCCGCGGGACATTTAAATTCAAATTGTCTGCCAGAGTTGTAGTATAACTAATTTTTACTATGCTTAATGTATCTTAGAAAACTGTTAGTATTTCTTTAGTAAATACTTAAGTTGTTCTTTCTTTTAAATCCTGATTCCTGAAAGATACCCCATTTATCTATGTTTATTTGGTCTGTGATGATAATATATTTATCTTTTTACGATAGGTTTGATTCACAATAATTAGGACGGAAGTTACATTTATTTTGATAGTAATCTCAAATGGGATGTTGACCTTGTTGATGATGACATAATCTAATTTATTTAATAATGAAACGATGTACTCAGTGATCAACGTTACTTTTCTTAAAATTTTCTACATTTAAACTAACGTGAGAATACATAAATATGGATGACCATTTGAAATTTATTATTTTCCGTACTACTTTTGTTTAAATTTATAATAGCATGGGGATTTGTGGAGATTGTAATATTTTCAGTTGAATTTACAAGCTGATGTAAGCTACAATACTACTAAAAACCTGGATGCGCTGGACGGCCGTTTTGTCTTAATATGGGCCTCGTTAACACTGCTCAGTGGTATAAAGGTTAAGTGTTCGCGCGTGAGACTAAAGGTCTTGGGTCCGAGTTCCGCGTGCAGGATCGTGAATGTGCACTAATGGGGTGTCCCATATTGTGACGAAACGGCCGTCTGGTGCTTCCAGGTTTTCATTATTAGTCTAGCTTAGATTGACTCGTGAATTCAACTGTTGATATTCATAATAAGCCAGAGATTTCAGCAGAGGTGATGACCAGTAACGTTCGATCATCTCGAATATCATATAGTTACCCACCAATATAGGACATTTAGAAATGGTTGCCCATTATAACGAATTCATTGAATCTAAACATAAACTATCGGATACCAGTCCTGAGTTCTAGCCCTAGTAGGGGAGTTGTTCTTGCTCATTGGTGAAAACTCGTCGCATTCTCGTGTAGAACCATTATCTAGTGTTTTCTGATTTTCAGTGATTGTTTAACTGAGGTCAATATATAATACAAACTATACAATTAAAAAATCTGTACAAACTCTCAAATAAAATATTTATTCATTTTCTCATTCTACTATCAGAAAAATTATATGATAAAAGAGGTTCTTTCGAATTTTTATCATAACTCTCTTTATAGCAATTACATTTGTTAAATTATAATCTGGTTCATTTTGTTATTTAACGTGTTACAAGCAAAAAAATACAATGTATTTCACTACTTACTTACTTTCGCCGGTTACTCTCAATGTAGTATAGGCTGCCGACCAGCATTCTCCAACCCACTCTGTCCTCAGCCTTCTTTTCTAATTCCATCCAATTGTTGTTGATTTTTCTCATGTCTATCTCCATTTCCCGGCGTAATGTGTCCTTTGGTCTTCCTCTTTTCCTTTGGTCTTGAGGATTCCATGTGAGGACTTGTCTTGTGACACGGTTGGGTGCTTTCCTCAATGTGTGTTCTATCCACTTGCAGCGCTTCTTCCTGATTTGTTCCTCCACTGGGATCTGGTTTGTTCTCTCCCACAGTAGGTTGTTGCTAATAGTGTCCGGCCAACGGATCTGAAGTATTTTGCGTAGACAACTGTTAATAAACACCTGTAACTTGTGGATGATGGCTTTCGTAGTTCTGCATGTTTCCGCTCCATATAGAAGAACTGTGTTGACATTTGTATTGAGAATCCTGACCGTGGTGTTGGTTGACAGTTGTTTTGATTTCCAGATGTTCCTGAGTTGTAAATATGCTGTTCTTGCTTTGCTTATCCGCGTTTTTACATCTGTATCAGAAATATATTTCACTAGGGGCCCTTTTTTTCAAAAGTACACATTTACTATTCAATATTATAAAATGTTATCATTATTATTATATTGTTTCAGGATCATGTGAAGTTTTTTCTAATCTAATTGGTGCTCGTGGTAAAGATGTTTTATATGTTGGTGATCATGTTTATGGTGATATATTAAAATCGAAAAAAACTGTCGGTTGGAGAACATATTTAATTATACCAGAATTAGCAAATGAAATTTATGTATGGAAAAAAAAGAAATCATTATTTGATGAATTACAAAAAATTGATAATAATTTAGAAACAATCTATCGGTTAGTTAATTGATTTTTTGGTTATTTTTGTTTTTCTTCCTGATGAAATTTTTCGAAAAAAAAAACGGATTGAACTTTATTTTATACACATCGTTCCCTTTATTATATGAAAGAGAGCAAGTACAAAGATTGGTGCGGTATAATAAATGAATTCATTTTATTATTTCGTTAGGTTCTCATCAGCTGTTTACAGTCTAAAATATTTGAAAATCTACGTTATTACAGATGAGATGACATACTTATCTATACGAGAGTGATTAAAGATGAATAAATGTATCATGGTATAGCGAAGATTTCAATCAAGTTAATAAGGTCATAAGAATTTTGTTTTGGATAAATAAAGTTTTCTTTTTGGGGGGGGGTGAGTTCCAGAACATTAACATAGTGATTAGAACTCATGGAATTAAAAAAATGTAATGAAGTAACTGACAATAGATTAATGATAATGAAGAAGGGTATAAATTGAAATCAGTCAGTTATGAATGATGTAATTTAAAACTTCAGAAAGAGTTGGAGTAATGAATACCGTAATAAATAAATAAAACGGATTTATTGTTACCAGGGTAAAAAAAGATTTATTACTGTGTATTTTTGTATACATAGATCTGGTTTTAGACGTTTGATTGCTATCGCTTCAGCGAATTTCAAAAGGTTAGAGTTTGTTTGTTAATCACCTTGAAGGACTTCAGTGTATCGACTTCATGTTCTGTGTCAAGGAGATGTCTTGAATGCTTTTAATCCATATGATCTTAAACTTGTCGAAATATATTCTTTAAATAAGACGTAGGTTCTCCTTTCTGTTCTACCAATGAAATTGCTTTGGGAGATACTTGTAAATTTGTATGCACAGTTAGTGGTAACACAATCATCTAATTTTTGTTAACTCCATGAGTTCTAATCACTATGTTAATGTTCTGGAACTCACCCCCCCCAAAAAAAACTTTATTTATCCAAAACAAAATTCTTATGACCTTATTAACTTGATTGAAATCTTCGCTATACCATGATACATTTATTCATCTTTAATCACTCTCGTATAGATAAGTATGTCATCTCATCTGTAATAACGTAGATTTTCAAATATTTTAGACTGTAAGCAGCTGATGAGAACCTAACGAAATAATAAAATGAATTCATTTATTATACCGCACCAATCTTTGTACTTGCTCTCTTTAAACTTTATTTGTAAAAAGCAAGAAAAACAGTTTTATATTGCTTACCTGTACTAGTTTAAAAAAATATTTTCAGCATTATGTACAACATAGACTTCACACAGGATCGAATCTATGCGTTTTTTCTCGGTGAGTACGTGATACATTCCGGTACGTATTTCAAGCTAGTCATATTTTTCAAATTCCACTAATTCTGATATGAAGTTATCGTGGTACATTACTGTTATGACGTGTGGTGTCCGAGAGCTGATACTGATACACATACTTCTTATACCCTAATCTGACGTGCTTAAGTTAAAAGACTGAAAGTGAGAAACAATTTTATTGGGTACCCGAATCAAGAAACAACTATGCACTCGTTTATGCATATATGATTTCTTCCTTATCAATATTGAATTGCGTTGAAATGTGATAAATTTCCATTGTGCTTATTGTTAAACTGTTAAACATTTTTTAGTACAATAAAAAAAGGATTAGAAATGAATGAACCACACAATATGAAACCATAGTACCGTATCAAAAAATGTAATGTAATGGGAATCTATGTCAAGGCAGTTAATAGCTTCCATCGTGAATCATATGTGATAACGTGTCAAATCCGTTGACTGCCGTAATTTGTGGATTTCGATCAGGAAATAGATGATAGCTCTATGTTACTATCTTTTACATCACAATGCCATTTTATAAATTGATTATTTTTCCACATCTTCCACCCGGTTTTACCGTTCAGGCAAATAGTATATCCTATGGAATCCACTTGGGGGGGCATTCGTAAAATATATCCTAGTCACTGATGACTAGGATGCAGTTGTTAGGAAACGGGTACTAGGTAAAGATGGAATATCAATTGATTAAGTAGTGAAACTTCATCAGTTGAGATGGCTGGGACACGTGTTACGTATGCCCAACCACCGACTGCCTGACGTGCGATGTTTTATGGTGTAAGAGTAGGTTGGAAGAAAGCTAGGGCTGGCTAGACCAAAACATGGCACAAATCCATGAAGTCATTGACAAGTAGACTGAGCCATGTCGGTAGGTGTAGACTATCTGGTTGGGATCCGCGAGACAATAGCAACCGATGGTTAGGGACCTTGAATCACATGACTCAAAATCGTTTGCAATGGCACAGGTACATCCACTCTTTGTGTTCTCCAAAATTCTAATCTCCTAAATTCCTCATGTCTTTATTTTTTTCTCTTTCTAAATTTATTTCACTGTATTATACTCTTTGAATAACATCTTCAAACCATAATGTTTCCGATTACTGCTTATACTTTTACTATCTCGACCACTATGTAATTTGAATCGAAAATTGTATTTCTGTGCTAATGCAATGTGGTATGGCAACTCGAACTAATGTAATTACGTACGAAGTTCTACATTGTTTCTTATTGACTGAGTCACTGATGAAGATTTCTTGAGATAGTGACACTAAGTCACTTATCATCGCTATGTTTGAACACATTTTGTTAAACTTAAGTATTACATAGTGTAGCCATTAGAAACCAACAATTATTTAAAGAAAGCATTGATTGGAAGCGGGGAATTTCAAGACACATCCTTAATTCATAGTAGAAAAGTTTCACAAACTTTTAGCATCAGAATCGATCTCATCATTTTACATCTCAATATAGAATTTTAACTTTGAAATATTTTCTTGATCCAAGTTGTTGTGATTTCTGTGTATATTATTACCATATGTGACTTGGTGAACTATTGTTGGTTTTTTTTACGAAAAAATCTATCGATTTTGTCTTTTGTTTATTTATCAAACAACAAATTATGTTAATATATATATAAGTTTTATGTATTAGGGAAAATGGAGGTTGCTTCACTTCGTTATTTCACTCCACCTCGCTACATATACTCTAATCTCATCCTTTACAAAGTAGTATCAATTAACAATGATGACCTAGAATATTTTCCAATGTTATTTCACAAATAAACAAATGGATCAAAGTTCTTGTTTTGTTGTTATTGTTGCCTTATGTCGATAATAATAATAATAATAATAATAATAATAATAATAATAATAATAATAATAATAATAATAATAATAATAATACATGTTTTCTTTCTCATTGCATAACTTTCATTCGACTTTGCTAAATATTTTATTAGTGATTTGAATATCTCATCGAATATAAGACCGGATGTTGGAGATTTACAGAGAAAAATTCGGGTAAGTGAATGTTTGGTAAATATATATTTTAATGGTATATCAATCAGTTCTTGGATTGTAAAGCTTCCGTTTTCAATAGGGACAATCTTTTCATCATTTATTTCATGTTGTTTTTGTGGTTGGCTGTGTTTGTAAAGTTCTATGCTCGGATTAAACAACTATTCAATGCTTCCAGGATTTCAATATTTTTTGTAACTTCATTCGGTTTTTGATCTTAATAATATCAAACAATTTCCACAACCTCCATACTGATGATTTTCATATGTTCACTAAAGATCGGCTTCAAAAGAAAGTGAAACGCAATTGTCATGAACTCAGAATACAGTGGTCTTGAGTACTGTTAGAGGTATGAGGGCGGTTGTCACTTCCCGGTTGCCCACATCGTGGAAGGGTTGTTCTAGAGGTACCTGAAAAGGAAATTGGATTAAAGGTGTTAGTGACCTGAAAGCGTGACCGTAGTGCCCAAGGGACAACTGCTTGAGGTCGGTCACACACGACCTTTTTATAAGTAATTTTTGTGTTAGCTTCGTACTTGCTGAAATTTTACCGCCGGAGACGGATATCCGTAGGATAAGGTGAGGTGTGCATTTCCAGGGTCGACCTTTTCTAACCCCACCCCTCCTTGTGGGAAGGCAGCATCGCTATCATGCTGGTTGTCTGAAAAAAACACCTCACTACTGTCACACCTTTGTACAGTCGGCAGTACGACTTCGCCTTTGGACCTTAAGTTTGTTGCTTTTTATCTTACCACTCTTCAACTAACCTGTCTGACCTGGTATTACCTTGATGAACGGTTGCTCCAGCCATTATAGCTCGGTTGCTTCATCACGATAGGCAAGCCCAACCACCACGTCAAGGTAGCAACAACGGTCGGGTTGTCACGATCTGTTGGAGCTTAGCTATGTCTGGTGTGTGAGTTAGAGATAACCATCGCAGGTTTCATTTTTATTATGTTAGCACCTATTAGTTACCTGTTGAATAAGTGAAGAGGAATTCGATTTGGATTTATTTTCATGCTGTAAATAGCATATGGGATTATTTAAAAGAAATAATCCTCCATGCGGAGTTAGATCGTATGAAATAGAAAAAATAATGATGATATTAAAATTATTTCGGTTAGTTGTTACAATTTTTTATTTCCTGAACGATTATCATGCGTAATTGATGAATGGTAAACGATCGAGATCTATGATTATTATTATGAAATATCAATAACCATATATGTTCATAAGTTGGTTAAGTATTAGATAAAATATAAATAGTTCTTCATGTGAGTTTCATTGTATTTACAATTTATCAGCTGTATGTCTATCCCCCCCCCAAAAAAGCGAATTAAATTAAATCATCAAAGTTCAGAAATGTATTTGTACCACTATGAATTCGATTTACCAGTATGATGTTATTCATTTCGTGATCATTATTGTTCTAATTAAGAGATTGGCTAATAGATTGTGAAACATTTCTATATACTTTATTTAAATAATCAATCAGCGAAGGGATCTCTTTTCAACGAATTTATTATCAAGCTGTACAATCGTATATATATATATATATATATATATATATATATATATATATATATATATATGAAATTTTTTGTTTGTTAAAGTACTAGTTCCATGAAGAAATGTGAATACGAATAATCAAGATGATTTAATAGAAAGATTGTAATACCAGATTACATAATATGAATAATAGTAATAGATTTAATAAGTTAGTGAAAAGTTATCACATGGATGTAGTAAGATGACTTAAATGTTTTTATTACAATAATTAAAGGTCATAAAGGTATGAAAATAAAGTGATACGATGAGTACTTATGAATAAAATATTAAGAATATGAGACAAGGAGGGATGCAGTAATAATAATAATTATTATTATTTGGGCCAAGGTATGTATATACGATTGTACACTTACTTACTTACTTACGCCTGTTACTCCGAATGGAGTATAGGCTGCCGACCAGCATTCTCCAACCCACTCTGTCCTCGGCCTTCTTTTCTAATTCCATCCAATTGTTGTTGATTTTTCTCATGTCTATCTCCATTTCCCGGCGTAATGTGTTCTTTGGTCTTCCTCTTTTCCTTTGGTCTTGAGGATTCCATGTGAGGACTTGTCTTGTGACACAGTTGGGTGCTTTACTCAATGTGTGTTCTATCCACTTGCAGCGCTTCTTCCTGATTTGTTCCTCCACTGGGATCTGGTTTGTTCTCTCCCACAGTAGGTTGTTGCTACTAGTGTCCGGCCAACGGATCTGAAGTATTTTGCGTAGACAACTGTTAATAAACACCTGTATCTTGTGGATGATGGCTTTCGTAGTTCTGCATGTTTCCGCTCCATATAGAAGAACTGTGTTGACATTTGTATTGAGAATCCTGACCGTGGTGTTGGTTGACAGTTGTTTTGATTTCCAGATGTTCCTCAGTTGTAAATATGCTGTTCTTGCTTTGCCGATCCGCGCCTTCACATCTGCATCAGATCCACCCTGTTCATCAATGATGCTGCCCAAATACGTAAAGGTTTTTACATCTTCCAAATCTTCTCCATCAATTGTGATTGGATTGGTGCATTCTGTGTTGTATCGGAGAATCCTGCTTTTCCCTTTGTGTATGTTGAGACCTACTATTGCTGAAACTGCTGCTACACTGGTCGTCTTTTCCTGCATTTGTTGTTGCGTGTGCGATAGAGGAACCAGATCATGTGCGAAGTCTAGATCGTCCAGCTGCATCCTATCTGTCCACTGTATCCCGTGCTTTCTTTCAGATGTTGACGTCTTCATAATCCAGTCGATCACCAGGAGAAAGAGAAAGGCTGAGAGTATACAATTGTACAGCTTGATAATAAATTCATTGAGAAGTGATCCTTTCTCTGAACTTTGTATTGTTAATGTTTAATGTTTAAATGAGAATTATCTGTCAATTAGTCAATATTTACTGATAATCTATGTATTACATATATAGTTGTATATGCTTTTTTAAAAAATGTTTCTCTTTTGTTCATCCCGTTTTAATGAATATATATATATATCAAGGCTGTGGCTCAACGAATGGAAGAATCTTATGGTGCATTGGGAAGTATTTTCCGAAACGGTTAGTTTTGAAATCAGTTATTTTCTCTTCTCAAAAATGTTTATCGTATTAGTTATTTAAACATCCGGTATTCTTGTTAGTACTATAACCATCATATACATTAGGTGATGTTTGTCAAAACACTATAACAATAATTTTATGGAAAACATAGTCTTTCAATAATTACCTCTGACTTAAGTAATGATGATAACGATGATGGTGAAATTAGGCAACCACAAATTTCCTACAGAATATCATTACTACCTATATGTTTACTTGTTTATAATACTTACACACACACACACACGTACACATACAAAAGCAAATTTACACTATATATCAAAGAGTAAAGATAGTTCATATTACATTATTATTTAATTTTCTTACGATTTGGTGTATTCAGTGTCTGACTTTAACCTGTATTCGTATAAATCATTCCTGTAAACTTTGTACTTTTCTGTTCCTGGATTAATTTATTGTCATTTGTAAACTTTTTTTCTAACAATTTACTATTCATAGCTTGAATGTAGCTGAATTGAATTGATAGTAAGAATGAATTTAATGTATATTAAATTCTTAGTTGTTCTTGTTCCATTTCAATTTCATATAGATTATCGACTGATTGTATTATAATCTTGATTTAAACCTCAATTATAATTCGTTGGTAAATATGTTACATTTATTTCAGCGTCCATGACATATATACACATTTGTTTTGGGCGGTTGTTTGAATCTAATATTATAATCCACTATTAACCCAACCCAACCACACACATTACTGAGAAAATCAAGAGTGAGCAAGAAGCTTTTATTGGTCGACCACAAACAAAATATACGCACTAACTCGTTCTTTATACGTATAAGAAGTTATGAGCAATTCAGAATCTCAGAATTCGGGGAAAGATAAAGAACAGATGCACCTGCGCCACGTCAAACGATTTTAAGCCATGTCATTTAAAGTCTAAGCGTTGGTTTTGATGCTCGCGCAGACCACAATCAAGTAGTCTACACCTATTATCATGGCTCAATTCAATTGTCAATGATTTCATGTACTGTATCGGTTTGGCTGCCTCTAGCTTTTTCCCATCTTATTCCTGCACCACAAAGCATCACTCGTCAAGATAGACAATAGTTGGACATACATAACACATTTCCCAACCACCTCAGTTGACGAAAATTCACTTGCTCATCAATCGATTTCCCACCTTTACCAAGAACTCTATTTCTAACCCCAAGCATTGCTTACTTCTTGATCCCAAAACTTGCAACTAGTCGGCTCAAAAATCTTGGCTGAAAATATATTAAGCATGATTATTATTTATTTGAGAGTTTAGCATATATAATTGTAAAGGATTTTAGATCAGCATTATTATGCTTACTTCTGATTGATTGATCCCCAATTAACGGCCAATGTCGTATTTGTACAGTTCGTTAGTAGTGATAGAATTTCACGGATTATAAAGGATTATGGCCATTAGCCTAGGTAATTCGACATTAAGTGTCCTGTTGATAAATACGTTAGACAATTGCCATGTTAAGTATTTCTATTAGTAAGCTGAGTGTTCTACTTTTTAATGAAAATTAACGTTTAGATCATTGAAATATGAAAACACAATGTACACTATAATTACTGATTATTTATAAGTCTCCTTTATTTTCTGTTATATTATTATTGTTATTACGTTTGATTTTTATTATGTTTCAGGTTCTCGTCATACATTCTTCTCATCTCAAGTATTACGTTATGCCGATTTATATTCTTTCTCTTGTATTAATCTGATCTATTATCCTTTATGTTATATGTTTCGTGCACCAGCTATGCTTATGCCTCATGAATCAACTGTATCTCATGGTGATTCACCAAAAGATAGTTTTTCCGATTTAGATGCTTTACCGTGTGGAATTCGTCGACGTACTAAAAATGGTAATTTATACTTACATAGATTGCCATTTATATACATATATTTATTTTGTCTTACTTATAAATAATATCAGTATTACATAAGTTTAACTTTAAAAAGTTTCCAATTCGTTTGAACTTTCTGCTTGAATGAAGAGGTTTTCTATTTTACAAATCGTATATTGTAGTTGAGAAACGTTCATTATCTTTGTGTACAATATCATTATGAAGATGAAACTCTTGATAAAATATATGGGATGGGTATGCTATTTAGAAGACTGTTTTAGCGGGTTTGTTTATGGATTTCATTAATAACAGGTTTTATTTTTTAAAACTGTCGAATTGTATATATGTTTATATCTTCATGGTTTCTGAATAACATTTAGACCTTTCCAGCATCCTCAATGAATTTTCATTCAGAAATATAATTCATAGTAAATTCTATGAAAGATATTGTTATATCTTGAAAAGTTGGTTTTTCTTGATACTACCGCGTATAACTGAGCACTAGAACAGCAAAACCCTTCCAAGTCGCAATAAGAAGACAGAAGACTAATGAAAGGAATATTATTCCAAACATTGTCAATCATAGTACAAAATTGTCAGGTATTTATAGTTTTTAGTGAGAACGAAATCATCATTACAGTCTTCCAATCCGCGTACAGGGGGTTATTAGCATTATCCAATCGGGAAGTTACACGTTGGAATTCTAGAACATTCTTCCGAAAGGTGATTGGATGGAACGTCTTCGGCTCCTTCTGAGCCTCTTACAGCTTCCTCGAGTTCACCGGTGGTCCGTCGTCACAGATATGAAGAAGCAATTCATTTTGGCATGATTCACATACACTTTCACTCTAGCTTAATTCTTGTTTACAATTTGATCATGAATGTTTATAAATTTGTTTACTGAATTGTATACCTTAGAACCATTTATTCATAGTGTTTATACGTATAGGTACGATGGATATCAAGTTTCCGAAATTGTTCTTCAGTATCCTTTTTTTTCATTGCATAACTTACTATTTTGTAACTTACAAATTAGTTTTTTCTATAATCCAACTTTAGACTATAGATCTTTTTTTTCTCGAAAGAATTGAAGGTAACATTATTGTTCAATTATCAAAACTCTCATGTTAATTGATTTTCTTTGATTATTTCTATTGAAAGAAATCACTCCATTATCAACAGACATAAATGGTCTTAACTCTACTTTGGAGAGTTCACTTTATTGTAAAAGTAATAATAATACTATTTGTGAATCTGATGAAGAACAGGATGATTCACTTGATTCCGATTAAAGGTTAGTGATTATTCATTTGTACGATGAAATTAAAGGTATATAGTGAATTTTTTTTAACGGTATTGAATCTAAAGTAGGTATCATTAAAGAAATCTCGGAGTGAAGTAGCTAAATCTAAAAATTGACCTCGGTCTATGAAATTATTGGCTGTTAACCTGTTAGGTAATTTGATTAGTGTTGACAATCGGTTTATGATCAAAGCCCTAATCACGACCAACGGTTGAAAATTGTGAGCAATATTGATTAGAATCGATCATAGCTGTGCAGATCCATCCATTCTTTATATTTTCTATAGAATATTTTATGTTACTAGTACTCAATTAAAGATCTGTCATCAGAGCATCGTTTGTATATTTTGTGACCACCGACTTTAATCACAAAGTAATGAATAAGGATGGCAAATCGATTGCTTAAGTAGTGAATCGTCATCAGTTGAAGCTGTTGGCACATATTTTACGTATCCCTAACAACTGTCAACGTCGTTGTGTGGGTGATGTCGTTTCTTTTAGTAGTAGATAGGGGTAGTAAACTCGGAAATTTCATTTTCCTTGTTCGTAGTTGAACGAGGTCTGTTAAGTAATCTCAGTTGTTGTAAGAACGCTTAAAACAAAGATTAAATTATCAAAAGTCGTTTATTTTTCTGAAACTACGTTTGGTTTACACTGAACTAATGTTTCTGTCGTCTGTTAAGTCTTAAGGTTATTAAGTGTAGATATTAGGTACTTATTCCAAATTTTCATTCATTCATCTATCTGTCTAACCTACATATGAGTATGTATATTCATATGTTTCATTATAGTGTTTTTTAAAGAGGCTTGTTTTACATTAGTTTGATAATTGGTTCACCAACGAGGGAGTTAGAAAACCCTGATTCCAAACCAGTGGTGCACATGGGCTCCAGTATCCTGAGGGAAAATATGACATACGAACCTATTGTTGATCACCGGTTACCATGGGACTGCATCTCCTAACGTCACTCCACAGCCTTGTAGATTAGACCTCTAGGCCAAAGACTTCGAGAACCTGTTAATGAAATCTAACAATCATATAGTAAATGCTTAATTTGCAAAATGTCCATCAATTGTCTTAAAATGACTCAGACTTCAATGTTCTTACATTTTCATACAAATTGCATTCTGTTCCCATTCTTTACTGTTCGACCCTTTTGTCTCTTTGCTACCAGACATCCTGTTCCTGACTAACATCATATACTACTTATGTCGAGATAAGTAGCACACACCACAATAGTAGTAGTAGTAGTATTTGGATTCAGTCAGTCAGTAAGTGGTCTTGAGTGCTGTTAGAGTTATGAGGGCGGTTATCACTTCCCGGTTACCCACACCGTGGAAGGGTTGTTCTGTAGGTACCTGAAAAGGAAATTGAATTAGAAGTGGTCTTGGTGACCTGAGAGCGTGACCGCAGTGCCCAAGGTACAACTGCTTGAGGTTAGTCACACACGACCTTTTTATGGGCAATTTTTGTGTTAGCCCCGTACTCGTTGAGACCTTACCACCGAAGACGGATATTCGTGGGATAAGGCGAGGTGTGCATTTTTAGGGTCAAACTTTTCTAACCCCACCCCTCCTTGTGGGAAGGCAGCATCGCTATCATGCTGGTTGTCGGAAGAAAACACCTTACTGCTGTCACACCTCTGTACAGTCGCAGTACGACTTCACCTTCGGACCTTGGATTTGTTGCTTTTAGTCTTACCGCTGTTCAACCGACCTTTCTGACATGATAGGACCTTGATGAACAATTGTTCCAGCCAGTATAGCTCGATTGGTTTATCACGACAGGTAAGCCCCACCACTACGTCAAGGTAGCAACAACGGTCGGGAGTATTTGGATTAATATTGATAAATTATATTATTTTGTTAGTTCACATGTATTATATAGTGTTATCCATTATTCTTAGTATGGAACTTTGGGGATTATTGAATTTCATTAAAATCATAAAGTTTATCCAATTGATTGAACTTCTTCGTTTATTTATTTATTTTTTTCATTTTTCTAGTTATTGAACTTCACCAAATTTTTCTCTCTCTCACAATTAGTTCTATTATTCTTATCAATGTAAACACGCTTAAGGAATAAAGAAAATAATAATAAAAGAAAATTAAAATAGAGAAAATTGAAAAGAAAAAAAAGTACGTGTACACACACACACACACCTACATACATACACATACGCATACACGCTCAAACAAATAAACAAACATAATCGCTTATTATATAAATATAAATATGTTAATTAAAACTTACTACCTACATTGCCTGATCATTGTTAATGTCTATTCCATTTAGTCAATATACACATACACTTTTTATTGTATTTCTAGTCCGATTCAATATGATAATTAGTAGAATGAATATGATAATTAAAGCAAATGATTTTTGCGTTGTTTGTTTTTTTATTATTTAATTATTTATTTATTATTTTTATTGATCATTGAACAATTGAAATCCTGTGGGTTATTTTAAAAAAAAATCTAATAACAATGAATTCACTGTTGATTTAATCATTCAATGGAAATTATTTTTAATTCAAATCATCTTGATGATTGATTGGTGACGACGCCTTACTTACTTATTTACACCTGTTACTCCTGGTGAAGGAGCATAGGCCGCTCACCAGCATTCTCCACGCCTACATTCTTATAATTAACCATTTGATTTCATTATCATGATTATTAATTAGTATGATTGTTTTGTCACTAAGTGATGATAAGAATGTTTTACCTCCAAAAAAAATGATTATTTTCTCTTTATCCATCTATCTATCTATCTTCATCCGTCATTATTATTTGCCGATGAAGAAATATATCAAAAAAGAAAAGGAAAAAAAAGTAATCCGATAGGATGGGAAAATTTGGTGACTTTATTTCAAATATATATCTATATATAAGAAATGATTAGCTATTTGGTGCTTTACATAATTGATCTCATTGTTTTAAATCATCATTCAACTCAATATATCATATGTACTACATATATATATAAACGAATTATCTTTCACTGCTGCTTTCTGTTTTATGACTAGATATGATTGTTTCTTATTTCATTGAATATTTACAATCAGATAATTTATATGGATGAACTGCTGAATTTATTTAATTATTTTTTTCGCAAACATTTTAATTGTTGTTATGTAATTTCTTTCTTTTGTTTTTCTTCTTCTTCTTCAAAAAAAAAAATCATTTGGATATTTTGTCTAATTGCTCAGTGTTACTAATTATCCACCCTCCTCATATGTGTTGGATGATAGGTGGGTGGGGGGTTGCTGATTTCTCGCTTTTTATATTGAGTTGTAGTGTAAGTAGAAATACACATGTTGTTGTGTTTAGCAATCAATTGTGTACTTTAAGTTGGTTTTTCTTATTGATATATATATATGTTATCTATCTGTTTACATTCATTAATATTTGTACTGGTATATATATTCTTTAGTGTGATCAACATTTCTTCCATTTTCACTTACTATAGTTATCGCTTATTTCTGTCTCTCTCTCTCTGACCCACTCACTTGTTAGCAGGAATCATTACATGAGCTGTTTATTCTTTTGCTTTTCTTCCCTCTTCCTGTTTCCTCGTCATGTTTTGTTCTTATTCTTCCTCATTATTTTTTGTTTGTTTTGTTTCTGTTCTCTAATGATAAAATTTATTTTTGAATCATTTGACTATTTTGTTTTTGTATTCCATAGTAATGGAATATCTTCAGAATAATTTCTAATCCTTTATATGTCCCTCATCTTTACAACCAATATTAATATCGTTCAGAAAATAGGAAGCATGAACTACAATGTGTCAATATATGGTGTAGATCACAAAGTGAATACTAACACAAATACAAATGTAAGCGTATGAATTAATAAGAGAGCGAATGAGTCATTGATCTATATTAGTAACTAACTATTCAAGTTAACAAGATGAATATGTATGAGTAGACTGTAACATGTGATCAAGCCTACATGCTCATAGAAGCATGATATTGATACCATAATATACAAATTGTTACTGACCTAATGACTCTGTTAATTATAATAATTTCACAAGTTGAAATCATGAGTCAATTGAAGCTAGTTCACCATGGAAAACCTGGAAGCACTGGAAGGCCGTTTCGTCCTAGTATGGGACCCCTCAGCAGTGCGCATCCACGGTCCCGCGGGATTTGAACCCAGGACCTACCGGTTTCGCACGCGAGCACTTAACCACTGAAACACTGGTGTACGGTGGCGCAACCTCGTGGATTGGTTGAAGTTAGACATTAACACCGTTGGATGCCGGCTCAGTGGTTTAATGGTTAAGTGCTCGCGCGCGAAACCAGTAGGTCCTGGGTTCGAATCCCGCGAGATCGTGGATGTGCACTGCTGAGGAGTCCCATAGTACGACGAAATGGTTGCTCAGTGGTTCCAGGTTTTCCATGATGGTCTAGCTTCAATTGACTCATGATTTAAACTTGTGAAATTTCTAAAAAATCTCCACATAACCCATTCTGATAATTATAATAATTGTGAATAATAGCTTAACAAAATGAGGTGTTCACAGAATTAAAAGTGGATGTTGTGCTATAATGATTCCATCCTGTAAAAGAAAATACTAGTTTCTGTATTTGTAAAAAAAATGTATTAAACAGGACACAATAAAAATGATGTTAAAATATGAGGTGAAGCTATGGTGCAAGTAAATATATGTCCATGTATATCTACGTCCGTGAAGCCATATAAAATAATGATTAAAAGAATCTGGTAGTTTTTAATAGATTATGCGTACAGTCATGAAATGATACAGAATGTGTCAAATCCAATGTAATGTAAATTTAATGCACGTACACAATATGAAAAAATGTGGAAGATTAAGGGACACATTCCGTTAGAAATTGGAAGATGACATCAAAATAATGAATATCAACTGGGCAGTGTGCATTCTATGCTCCTCGACGAGGGGTAATAGACGTTGTAAGTAATGTACAATAAGAAGCGGAACATGCTCGCCAGCATGTTCTACCAACAAGTGTAAGATATAGACCGCCAATCAACTGCCCATTAGCATGGAAAATAATACGAAGCGGAAGAAATGATAACCGAAATGACTAATTCAGAATCGTTGATACTATTTTACTCTTAGACCTTATCTAGTCATTACTAGGGTTTTCATTTTTGTCGTTGATGATTGGATTTCACGTCTGGGTGGAGAGATGATTTTTAAGGGATCTAGGTGTACTGGCTGATCATCACTTCGATGAACGCTGCTTTGAATCGGTTGTTGCTAATTACAAACACAGCTAAAATAATTACTAATGAATCTTGTATGTTAAATTAGTAGACTCTTATCAGTTAATTAAACTGGGATGATTCTTTGTTTGTGTCAATCATTATGGTATAAGTTCAGTTCATAAACATTATATAAGTCAATAGTTTCCAACTTGTGACGCCATAGGTTTCGTGTATTATAAAGTTGAGTTTAACAATTATTTTCACTGCTCAGAATAATAATCAGTTGCGTGGACATTCGGAGATTTTTAGGCCTACAGCTTAATGGTTTATTTGTGTAGTCATAGAAACTAGGGGAACATTTTATGCAGATCATTTCCCACTCTTCAAACAGATACGTTGGAGCGATTTTCCAGGGTTTTTTTCGAAATACATTGCATAAATTCTGAGAAAATTATGGAAACGATAATTCTTTTTAGTAAAATGTATTTAGATGTAATAACAAGATATTTTTCTGTTTACTAATAAGAATAACTTGTTAGTTGATTGGAAGTGGTCGATACAGAACTCTAGCATAGGCATCGTTCTAGTCACCTTTCATCATCTTGATAGAACTGTTGTACACTTTAAGGCTTGGGACCGTATAACTCAGCCTCACAGTTTAATCTGATGACTAAGATATTTACAACAGATTTGTGTTTGTCTAGCCCTTATTGTTCAATCCGTCCTGACTATGACATTAGTTCCTAACTATTAACTTATCAATTCTAACTATTTTAATCACGTAGAAGGTTAATAGTGATCCGAGTAGCTCAATGGTTGTATCAGGATTCATGGTATAGCTTCCTAAAAAATGTCATCTAACCAGAAACATAGGTCCAAGGTTACCTGCTAACTATTCCCAACCATTTAATACTACACCTCTTACACATAATGTTCAATTAAATAAAAATTGGACATCATATTGTTCCTGTTTTCCTTTCGTAGTATTTATCACTAATCTGTAGTTAAATTATTGTTTTAGCATATGAGTCATAGCATATTTTGTTCTATCTAGAGCTTAGACACTTGATACACCGCGTACAATTTGAGCACTCGAACGCTAGAACTCTTCAAGTCACAATTGAGAAGGAATGCTATACCAAATAGTATCAATTATGGTACAAAACTGTGAGGTAATTATCGTTTTTAGTAAAGCGAAATCATCATTATATTCCTCCAATCCTCCTACAGGGGTTTATTATTATTTTTCCAATAGGGAAGCTACACGTTGGGATTCTAGAATATTCTTCCAAAAGATGATTGGATGAAGTATCTTCGTCTCTTTCTGGACTTAGAGCTTTCTCGAGTTCACTCGTGGACTGCCTTCACATAATTTAATCTTTATTTATCATCATAAAAGGATCATATGAGAAAAGAAATTTCGGACAGTATAGTATCAATCATCTGTATTATTATAGGATTTTAGCTTAATATTCATTATTATTGATAATTGACATGTAACCTTAGTAACTGTTTAAAAAAATAGATGAAAGGTCATTCTGATAATTACTAAGTTATTTATCATCAAAGATCTTTGTAATAAGTTGTACATGTTTCATAAAACTGTGTAGGTAACCGCGTTCGGTAAACAAAATTATTTAATTAAAAAAACACAACGTAAAACAGAAAAATCTATGAATGCAAAGATTTAGAAAAATGATAACGTGAAAGTTTGAATAGACCACTATCACCTCTGTATACGATACTTACTGACATACACCTGTTACCCGTCGTGGAGGAGCATAGTCCATTCAGCAGCATTCTCCTCCTCTGTCCTAGACAATCCTTCCCAGTTACTATTCATTCTTGCAATGTTTGCTTCTAATCCTGACTCAATGTATACCTTGGTCTTCTCCTTTCTGTTTCTCTTCAAAATTCCAAGCTAACGCTTGCCTCGTGATGAAGTTTGGTGATTTCCGCAACGGAAGTCCTATCTACTTCTATTGTTTTTTTCCTGATCTCCTCTTCAGATGGAACCTAGTTTGCCTTCTCCTCAATAGTATATTGTTGCTCATGATGTCTAGTTAACGGATATAGAGTATCGTCGAAGACGATTGTTTAAAAATACTTGTGCTTTTTCACTGATGTTTGTAGTAGTTCTCTAAGTTCCAGTTCCTCGTGTAGTAGGACTGTCCTGGCGTTCTTATTGAAAATTCTGACTTTGATGTTGTCTGGCAGATAGTCGTTTTGAGTTCCATATATCCTTGTGATTGGGTTAGTTTTCTCCGCGTTGTATTACAGGATCTTGGTTTTTCCTTTGTGCATGTTGAAGCCTACTGATTCACAGGCTTCTGTATAGGGTAAGGATTCATAAAAACTACGATCACTATTGGTTATTATAAGAAATACGGAGGAGGTAATTTTGGACACAGTTAAATATTCTTTTACTGAAAGATTTCCTCATGTGAAAAAAATTCGCGTTTACGTAGTTGGTTCTGAGTGAATACTTTCATTGTGCAATGCCTCGTAATATTATTAGGCTGTTCTTTAACAAAGTTTGTGAATCAGATTTTTGATTTGCACTTTGCTTGTTTACAATTCTTTGAACACAAAACTACCGCTTCACTCTATTAAATAACTCTACACAAGTCATCTATGAATTCTATCTTAATAGTTTGATGTTTTGGCCCCACCATCCATAGGCCTAAATGGTGTTGGTTCAATTCCTGATGGGATCGTTTATCCCTACTACTCCAGAGTTTCATGGTAGAACTATTACTGAATTACTTACACCTGTTACTACCAATCGATCATAGACCGTCCATCAGCATTCTCCAATCCACTACGTCCTGGAACTTACTTTCCAGTTCTCTTCAATTTTTGTTCATTTTTCTCATATCTGTCTGTCTCCATTTCTCAGTGTAATGCATTCTTACGTTTTCCTCTCCTATTTCAACCTTGAGGACTCCATGTGAGGGCTTGCCTTGTGACGCAGTTTGGTGCTTTCTTCAATGTGTTTTCTATCAACTTCCAACCCTTCTTCCTGATTTCTTCCTCCAGTGGAATCTGATTTGTTCTCTCTCACTGTAGTTCTCGTTGCTGATAGTGTCTGGTCAACGGCAGAATTTAAATGGTTCGAATTATTTTTTTTTCTGGTTAGCGTTTATTTAGCGAATTAGTTTTGTACGAGATTGGGTCGCTAACCCCGTTCCCATTCCTCCTTTATCCGAGCTTGAGACAGGCAGTAGCTACAGATTGGCACCAGGCGGTTTTATGATAGAACTATACAGCTTTCCAAGTCACTATCTCCACAACATTAAGTCATGATAATTTAAAATGTATTATGGAAGATATATATATATATATATATCAGAAAGGACTGACAGATCCTGAGTTCTGATCTCATGAGGCGGGATCATGGATGTGCACTGTTGAGGAGTCCCATAAGAGGACGAAACGGTCGTCCAGTGCTTCCAGGTTTTCCATGGTGGTCTAGTTTCAATTGACTCAACCATTGAACTATATATATATATAAGTACAGTTTTATTTTCATCAATATAACATCCGAATATTTTTATCACAATAGTTTGTCTATTTGAAATACTCTCAAGGTTATCAATCAAAATAATTAGGACAACATAGTTCATTAAAAATAATCCATCTATCTATATTATTTATTCTTGTAATCCAATGTAGACTGTTTATTCAGACATATACTGAATGTTTTCAACATTCTAATAAAAAGTAATACAATGTATAGAAAGGTGAAGAATATACACAGATATTATGGTTACATTAATATGTCTATCATTAAATAAAAA